AAACCCTAAACCCTAAACCCTAAACCCTAAACCCTAAACCCTAAGGCGTGCCAATGGGATTAACTGTTGTTGCATTTAAAAGGTTTTGCTTCGACTTGAAGCTGCAGCAGCAGCTGCTCAGCGACGAGGCCCAGGTGCAGCAAACCCTAAACCCTAAACCCTAAGCCCTAAACCCTAAACCTCAGGTAGGGGCCTTTCTCAGTCTACAGGCGTCTGATTGGCTTTTCTTTTTTTCATGATTTTCTTTTTCATTAATTTTTAATTTCATTTCTTTAATTCTTTTTAATTTTAGAAAAATGGTTTTTAAAATTTTATTTCATTTTGTGTTTATTTTCCAGTCTTGGTCGCTGTTTTGCTCCTTTTACCCTTTTTTAGGGTTTAGGGTTTATGGGCTCGAGTTTGTGTAGATCAGGGTTTAGGGTTTACGCTGCGTTAGGGTATTTGCGGCTTCTGGGCTTTGTGGTTTCGCTTGACAAGGGTTGAGGGTTTAGGGTTTAGGGTTTAGGGTTTAGGGTTTTTGGGGTTTCTGTGCTCTGAGCTTCGAGGCCCGTAGGGTCTGAGTGTCGGCTTTCGAGCCTAGGATTTAGGGTTTAGGTTTTAGGGTTTAGGGTTTAGGGTTTAGGGTTTAGGGTTTGTGTGTTTAGTTGGTGCATTTCTTCGAGAAGTTCAGCGTGGAGCCCGACGAGGGTTTAGTGCGCCCCGAGGGTTTTATGAGGGTTTTGCCGCTTTTTTTGTGGCTGCCAGCAGTTAGGGAATTGGCCTACTTGAACATGCTGCATCTGGTGAGGGTTTAGGGTTTAGGGTTTAGGGTTTAGGGTTTAGGGTTTGGGGCTTCTGGTGTGGGGCTTAGGGTGTAGGGTTTGGGGTTTGGGGTTTGGGGTTTAGGGTTTAGGGTTCGGGGTTGAGGGTTGAGGGTTTAGGGTTTGGGATTTAGGGTGTGGGGTTTGGGATCTAGGGTTTGGGGTTTAGGGTTTAGGGTTTAGGGTTTGGGGCCACAAAGGAGGGAAAGGTATCCCAGTTGTGATATTGTAATTAACAAATAAAACAAAATAAAATAAAATAAAATAAAATAAAATAAAATAAAATAAAATAAAATAAAATAAAATAAAATAAAATAAAATAAATAAAATAAAATAAAATAAAATAAAATAAATAATTGAAATAAAAGCAAATAAGTGGCGAAGTTGCAAAAAGGTGAAAAGGGTTTTGAAAAATATGAAAAAAGAAAATTCCGGTTTTCTTTTTTCGCAGCTAAGTGCCGAAGCCCTGCAGCAGCAGCAGCAGCAGCAGCAGCAGCAGCAGCAGCAGCAGCAGCAGCAGCAGCAGCAGCAGCAGCAGCAGCAGCAGCACGCTGCAGCGGCGCGGGGGCTTCGCCGTGGCCGCGCAGCAGCCTGCTGCTGCTGCACTTGCTGCAGCAGCAGCAACAACTCTGCTGCTCGCCCCAGATGGCACAGAAACTGAAGCAGCAGCAGAAACAGCTTTTGTGTCTTTGGGAGTTTTCATTCGAATGCTCAGAGAACTCGGAATTGTTCCCGGATTTCTTTCTTTAAGAGAAGCTAAAATAATAGCTCTTGTGTCATCAGGGGCCCCCGGGGGGCCCCCCCCGGGGGCCCCCCCGGGGGGGCCCCCGGGGGGGCCCCCCAGGGGGGCCCCCCAAGGGGGGCCCCCGGAGGGGCCCCCCAAGGGGGCCCCCAGAAAGGGGAAGGGGGGCCCCCAGGGGCCCCCAGATGGTCAGGGGGCCCCCGGAGCTGCTGAGGGCGAAGAAGCCCCAAAGGAAGAAGTACTTGGAACTGTGGGACAGCTAAACCCTAAACCCTAAACCCTAAACCCTAAACCCTCGCGGGCTGTTTGGGGTCGCTGGGGCGGTTTTTTTTTGCTTTTTTTCGCGTTAGTCTTTAAATATTCTTTCATTTCTTTTTATAATCCATTTTTTCTTTTTAGAAAATTCTTTTATTTCTTTTTATAATCCTTTTTTTCTTTTTAATTTCTCATTCTTTTCTTTATTTCTTTATTTTCTCTTTCTCAGGGCCGGCTGAACTTCCCCAAATTCGTTGAAGCTGTTGCTCAGTGCATCTCTGCATGCGCCGTCAAGAACATAGTCCTAAGAAAGGGGCCCCCCGGGGGCCCCCTGGGGGCCCCGCGGGGCCCCCGGGGGGCCCCCGGGGGGCCCCCGGGGGCCCCCGGGGGGCCCCCGGGGGGCCCCCAGGGCCCCGTGTACTGCCGCGTGTGCGAAATCAGAGAAGAGGCGCGGCAGCTGTTGGATTTGTTTGGGTTTTACAGTTTGGAAAATGTTTTGGAATTGACAAAAAGGCCTTTAAAAAGAGGCCCCAAAAGAGAAATAGAAGAAGAAACAAAAAGTGCAAAAAAAGATCTTTCCAAACACCCCTCTGACAGCCCCGCCCCCAAACCCGTCGCAGCCCTCAGGCTACTCACGCCCCTCTAGCCCCATGCATGCATGCATGCATGCATGCATGCCATGCATGCGTACAGGCTTGCATGCATGCATGCATGCGTACAGGCTTGCATGCATGCATGCGTACGTGCATGTAGGCTTGCATGCGTTTGTGCATGCATGCATGCGTGCATGCATGCATGCGTGCGGGCTGGCATGGGGGGTTGCATGCATGCAGCAGCAGCAGGAAAGGAGGCAGCAGCAGCAGCAGCAGCAAAGGAGGCAGCAGCAGCAGCAGCAGCAGAGGAGGGGCACTCTGTAGCCCCAAGGGTATTTTGGGGCCCCAAGGGGGCCCCCAGGGTTATATGGGGGGCCTCATCGGGGCCCCCGGGGAGTTTTGGGGGCCCCCCGGGGGCCCCTGGGGGGCCCTAAAGGCCCAAGAGGAGGCCCCTAAGGCCCAAAGGGTACATAGGGGCCCCCAAAGGATACTTAGGGGGCTCTGGGGGCCCCTGGGGGCCCCAGAATTGGGCTTTTTGCTGCGCCTTCTCTTTCTTACTGGAGTGGTCCAGTGGACCTCCAGTGGTCCTGCATGCATGCATGCATGCATGCATGCATGCATGCATGCATGCATGCATGCGCAGCCTGTCTCAAAGTTTAAAAAGTTTTTAACAAATGCAGCCTCAAGAACAGCGGGGAGAGTAAAGAGGGGAGAAAACACTCGGAAATGGCATTAAAAAGTACCTTTTTGAGGCAACTGGGGCTGCAAAACTCCAAAAAGATGCAAATATTCCACTTTTTAGTTATTTTATTGAAGTTTATTTGATTAGTTATTGAAATATTCTTCAAAGTTAGCAACTGTAGCTCAAATGTGCTCTAAATGGTGCACTTTGCTCCGGGGAAGGCGCGGGCTTCTGGCCGCAGGGGCTCGCTGCGCCATTTTCAGCCTTTTGGGGCTCTAAATGCATTTATTTTTAATTTAATTATTAATTAAATGTTTAATTCGCAAAATTTGCCGCTTTTAGAGCCCCCTAGGGCCCCAAGAACGAAATTGCATGCGCAGGTTGGGGCCCTGCAAGGTGGGCGCTGCTCTTGAGGTGTATGTACACTGCAGACTCGAGCGCGGCTGTCCATTAATTCAAACTCTTAAATCATTTAAATCATTTCTTTCTTTTCTTTTTAAATTCTGATTCTATCTTAGCCTCTTATCTTGCTGCTGGCTGCGCTGCTGCTGCTGCTGCTGTTGCTGTGCAGCTTTTCGGGCTGCTGCAGCAGCAGCAGCAGCGGTTGCTGCTGCTCACAACTGCGCGGTGTTATTCTTTTCTGTTGGGAAATATAACTTCGAAACTTTTTTATTTATTTCTTTTCTTAAATTAAAACAATTTAATTTCTTCCCTCTTTAAAAGCGGAGCAGCAAACGGCTAATTTGCAGCGCGTGCGTGCATGCAGCGCCTGCTGCAGCAGCAGCAGCAGCTGCAGCAGCAGCTGCTGCTGCTGCTGGTGCCGCTTTGAGGTCGCTCTGCAGCAATTTTGGAACTCTTTCTGTTTTTATTATCTAAATTTATATTTTTGTTTCTTTATTAACTTCTTTTTCTCGCTTTTGGACCCCCAGCTTCCGGGCTTTTTGCTGCTGCTGCAGTTGGCCGTGCGCAGCAGCAGCAGCAGCACCCCCCTAAAGGCTTTGCTTCCTCTCTACTTCGCAGCAAAAACGAAAATAAACATTTCTTGGAATTCTTTCTTTCTCCGCGCCTTTACTGCGCTGTCTTTCCCCTGTCTGTGCAGTCCTCTTCCGCAGCAGCAGCAGCAGCAGCAGCAGCAGCGCCGCCGCCGCCCGCAGCAGCAGCAGCAGCAGCAGCAGCAGGGGGCCCCTACGTGCTGCTCTACGCAGTGGATCTCACAGACGTGGGCCTCGAGGGGCCCCTCAACAGAGAGGCCCCAATTAGGGTACTGGCAGTGAGGGCCCCCTGCTGCTGCTGCGCTGCAGCAGCAGAGCAGCAAAGACTCAGCAGCAGCATCCGCTGCTTCTTCAAAGCCCAGCTGCTGGCCTCGCCCTTCATGCGCCACTTCATCTTCATCACCAAACCCTCAAAAAGGGTTTCTGCAAAACACAAACAAAAGTCCCTTTTGGGTGGGGTTTTATTATTATTTATTTGTTTATTTGTTTATTTATTTGTTTATTTATTTATTTCTTTATTTATTTTTTTGTTTTTTTATTTATTTATTGTTTTTTTCGCTTTTGTTTGGGTCTTTTGTTTTGCATCTTCATCACCAAACCCTCAAAAAGGGTTTCTGCAAAACACAAACAAAAGTCCCTTTTAGGTGGGATTTTATTGTTTATTTTTATTTATTTATTTATTTATTTGTTTATTTATTTATTTATTTATTTATTTATTTATTTATTTATTTGTTTGTTTTTTATTTATTTGTTGTTTTTTTTGCTTTTGTTTGGGTCTTTTGTTTTGTGTCTTCATCACCAAACCCTCAAAAAGGGTTTCCGCTAAACACAAACAAAAGTCCCTTTTAGAGTATTAACTAATTTATTTATTTATTTATTTATTTATTTATTTATTTATTTATTTATTTATTTATTTATTTATTTATTTGCTTGTTTGTTGTATTTGTTTTATCTTTTAATTTGTTATTTTGTTTATTTTGTTTATTTTATTTGTTCATCGCTAAACCCTTAAAAAGGGTTTGGCAAAACACCAACACAAATTTCTTTGGGTCGGGAAAACCCTTTTATTTATTTCTTTTTGATTTATTTTATTTTATTTGTTTTATTTATTTTTATTTATTTGTTTGTTGTTTATTTTATATTTATTTATCATTTAATTCATTAAGTTTTATTATTTATTTATTTATTTGTCTTTTCATCTTTTATCCTTTCCATCTCCTTTATTCTTCCATCATATATTTTCCTTTTAATTGAATTCAATTTTTATTTATTTTAATTCTCTTTTAATTAATTTAAGTTCATTTTAATGCACTTTTAATTTAATTTATTTATTTTAATTTGATTTAATTTAATTATTTTATTTATTTTATTTATTTATTTATTTATTTTATTTATTTATAAATAAATAAATATTTATTTATTTTTTTTTTTAATTTAATTCCCTCCCCCACCCAAAAGCGCTCCTCCAACCCCTCCAACTCCCCACCCAAACAAAAACAAACAAAACAAATTAAATCAATTTAAACTAATTAATTTAATTTAAATTAATTTAATTAATTTAATTTAATTTAATTAATTTAATTAATTTAATTTAATTAATTTAATTAATTAAATTAAATAAATAATTATTTTATTTGCAGGAGTGGGCCAGTACGTGGCGCTGATGAACTCGACGACGCAAGTTAATGGACTGTCTCCTTTGGAGGTGAAGTTGGGAGACGATCCCGATCCCGAGAGTCCGCTGCTGCTTGCTGCAGCAGCAGCAGCAGCAGCAGCAGCAGCAGCACAGCTGGGGAACTTTTCTGCTTCGCTGGCTTCCAGGTTTTCCCGCAGCGCGGACGCGGCGCACCTGCTGCAGCTGCAGCAGCAGCAGCAGCTGCAGCAGCAGCAGCAGCTGCTGGGGCCTGCTGCAGCAGCAGCAGCAGCAGCAGAAGACGAGGAGGAGGCCGAGGGGCTCAAGGCCAGCAGCAGCAGCCAGCAGCGGCAGCAGCTGCAGCTGCAGCAGCAGCAGCTGCAGCTGCAGCTGCAGCTGCAGCAGCAGCAGCAGCAACACACCCCCAGACTCGTCAGCATCCGCAGAAGCTACACGGGACCCGTCGCAGCAAATGCTGCTGCTGCTGCTGCTGCTGCAGCAGCAGATTAGTGCTGCAGCAGCAGATTAGTTTCCAAATGAAGTTCACTGAGGAGACAACTCTAACAAAAGGAGACACACAGACCCCACAAGACACTCGCGGCTCTTTTCCTGCTGCCGCGCCAGCAGCAGCAGCAGCAGCTGCTGCTGCTGCTGCTGCTGCAGCCGCTGCAGCAGCAGCCGCTGCTGCTGCTGCAGTGCACCCGTTTGCTTATTTGTTAATTTTGATGCATTTGTTCGCAATTATTATTATTATTATTATTTTATTTTATTATTATTATTATTATTATTTTATTTTATTATTATTCCATTCTTTTCTCATTTAGAATGCCATTTATTGTTGCAATTTCCCGCTGCAGTTGGCGGGCCCCGATTTATTTTTTTGTTTATTTTTGTCTCAATTAATTCTTTTATTTCTTTTTAAAAAGAAATAAAAGAATTATTTGAGACAAAAAGATTTCAAATTGTCTCTTGTCTTTTTTTTGTCCCTTTTGTCTCCTTGTGGGGCCCCACACTAGTCCCTTTGCTGCCGCTGCTGCTGCTGCTGCTGCTGCTGCTGCTGCTGCTGCTGCTGCTGCTGCTGCTGCTGCTGCTGCTGCTGATTCGTCTCCTTTGGCCCTTCGCTTTGTCTCTCAGGCGAGAGCAGCGGGACCTAAACCCTAAACCCTAAACCCTCGTTTTCATTTTTTCGTTTGCGCTGGCAGCCGCGCGCCCCGAGTGTACATACACCCCATGCAACACTCCCAAACCCTAAACCCTAAACCCTAAACCCTAACGGGGCTCTCCGGGCTCGGCTTTAGGGTTTAGGGTTTGCGGGACGGGCTCCGGCCCACAGAAGCACTAGGGTCTGGAATGAGGGTTTAGGGTTTAGGGTTTAGGGTCTCTGAGGCCTGAGAGGTTAGGGCAGGTCTACTTAGGGTTTAGGATTTAGGGTTTAGGGTTTACTGTTTGCTGCATGTACCCACTCCTCACACCAAACAAAACGGGGGCCCCTTGGGGGCCCCCGGGGGCCCCCCGGGGGCCCTTTGTCTTTATTAATTGTAGATATTTATTCTAAAATATATTTTACTTAATAATCTATTCCCATATGTATATTTCGAACAATTTGCCCTAATATACTTGTAGTTCAAATTGCTCAAGCGGGCCCAGGGGGCCCCCTGGGGGCCCCCCTGAGGGCCCCCTTGGGGGCCCCCCTGGGGGCCCCTGGGGGGCCCCTAGGGGCCCCTCAAGAGTCTCTCTAGGGCTGCTTCGCTGGGGCCCCTACTTGGGGGCCCTTGCGAAGCTTTTAAGGGGCCCCTTATGGGG